ACCCCTGAATGAACCTCCGACAGTATCCTGTCAATCCGAGAAAACTCTGAATCTCGGTAGGTGAAGTATGCTGTCCCCACTCAACCACAACTGAAACCTTGGCTGGATCCACCGCTATTCCCCTTTCTGACACCATGTGGCCTAGAAATTTCACCTTCCGCTGCCAAAATTCACATTTCTCGAACTTGGCATACAATTGGTGCTCACAAAGTGTCTGTAAGATTATCCGAAGATGTCTTAGCATGATCGTCCTCTGACCTCGAGTAAATCAAAATGTCATCTATGAAGACAATGATAAATTGATCCAAGTAAGCCTTAAAGACTTTGTTCATTAAATCCATGAAAATCGCTGGTGCATTAGTCAACCCAAATGACATGACACGAAACTCATAAGAACCATATCTCGTGAGAAACGTTGTCTTAGGAATATCCTGCTCCCTAACCCTCAGCTGATGATATCCAGAACGTAGATCAATTTTAGAGAAAAATGTAGCTCCCCTTAATTGATCAAACAAATCATTAATCCTAGGCAAAGGGTACCAGTTACGAATAGTAACCTTGTTCAACTCCTTGTAATCTATACATAGGCGAAGCGAATTATCATTCTTCTTCACAAACAAAACGGGTGCTCCCCAGGGTGAAGTACTCTTACGGATAAAACCTTGGCTAAGTAACTGCTGAATCTGATCCCTCAGCTCTCGCATCTCCACCGGTGCCATCCTATATGGTGCCCTAGCAATAGGCGTAGTGCCTGGAGTTAAGTCAATCATAAAGTCAATCTCTCGACTAGGTGGCAACCTTGGAATCTCCTGAAATACATCCGGAAACTCTATACAATTGGTATGTTATCAATGATACAGTAGTCCCCTCCTCCGTTTCCTCCCCCATATGAACCAAATAGGTGCTAATGACCCCGCTAGAACGTGGCATAGCAATGACGTACCTATCCTGACCAGGTACGGTGATCACAATAGACCCATCCATAATAAATAACTTGAGCATGGCAGTGATAACCAATCCATCCCATGTCATAAGTGTGCCTGTCCATGACCAAAAGATTTGCTAGAAATCTGAGTCTACTAACATCTAGTGTCACAGGTCCATCCTATATGGCAGTATTGCCTAAAAAAAAAATATCCTAAGGTCTATTGTATAAGTGTATCACCAACCAATTTATAAAAAAAAAATTCCCTGTTTCTAAAAATTCCATAGAGCAGAACACATAAAGTAAACAAAATACTCCAAAATCTTCCCATTTTAGACTATTGTTCTATCCTAGGAATTCCTCCTTCTAAACCAAACCTACCATATTGATTTACAAAAGTTCTCTCACAAACTCCTTGGTAATCATCCTGTCTTAACATAATGTACTACAAGCCAATATCTGTTTGCCTGAGCAAAACCAATCATCCCACTGTGATAGACATTTATGAGCCCAACATACCCATTCTAATACAGCTTAATAAAATCATATGTGTATAAATCGCCAAAAATAAGGCAAGTTTTTGTTCTATTCTTTCCCTTTAATCTGTGTTCTGCACATGCCTAGCTAGACTCCAGGAGCTTAATTAATGCTAAAACAAAATGATCATGCATGTTTAATCGGATTTAAATAGAGAGTTTCATGATTGTATATACTTATTCGTGATTTCTTTATTTTTAGATCTTTATGCATGAACTGTGGAATAACTTGAATCGTTGCCTACTAAAACCCTTAAAATAACTTAGTATGGATGTATGGCACTTAGGTTGAAGCTTAGAGGCTTTAACAATGAAGTTTTAGGGTTTACAGAAGCTGAACTGATGAAGAAGATGACTTCAGCACCAACTCAGCCGACTAAGTTGGCAACTCAGCCGCGACCTGTATTTTGGTTTTAATTGCCCAGAATTATTTCTAAACCTATTTTAATTAATCTAAATGGGTTTAATGGACTTAGGAAGATCTCAGAATACATCTTATATCTACATATGCTAAGAGGGTGGATGGTTTGGAAATTAAATAACTTATATGTTGTTTAGATCGGATGGAAGGGTAAATTTAATTGCTCTGACAATTGAAAATAACCATGCTTGTGTTGGAACAAATTGATATTTAACTTGCTTTTAATTATGTCAATTTATGGGCACCGGAGTTCAAGGATGACTGCTCTTTTAAGAGTACTTATAATTACTAGTCGTGGAGGAGGTATTAGTAAGAATGTAGTACGAATTTAATCACGTACATTAGGATTATGTTAAAGAATACCTTACGGTTATTGGGTTGACAGTTGTGGTTTGGAAAAGTTCTTAATAAAGTGACTTAACGGTTTTGGCTATTTTATTGTGTTTTGTGAGTTTTTCGTCAACATTCGAGGCTACCGTTCAACACCTCCGGTACTCTTGGTTCAACCCAGAAGCACTCCACTCCTTCCTCCTTGAACCTCTCTGTAAATCACTCAAGCTCACTTTCTGTTTCTCTGCCTCTCACAACTCTCTGTATCTTTCTGTTATGTGAATAGGGTTAACAAAACCCTTGGCAGATGTATACTTATGTATTTATAGGCTTTATTTGAAACCCTAAATTAAATCATAAACCAACTACAAGTCGGCTCAAACCCAGACAAGATGTATAACATAAAACCCTAATAACTAAACAGCTAAAATACATTTAAATCACAAAGCCAAAACACGGCCAAACGGTTAATTAAAAAGAAAACAATTATTTAAATAGCCACATAAGCACATAATTATAACAGTAACTAATTCACTTAAACAAATTGTCAGTTAAACAAAATAAATAAAACAAATATAATCAACTAATTCAATTAAATTAACACATAATCAATTAAACAAATAAAATTGCAACTAAATAATTAAATAAAATGTCAGGACTATCCTTTTAAAATTTGGGATATTACAAAACCTGACACATTTCAATAATTTATGATGATCTCTGCAAACAACTGCAAGCTTATCACCGAATGTCACTTCTATTACGATGACTGCCTAGTCGCAAAGCTTATCCAGGGGATGCTTTATATTTACATTCACGCCTTTTGAAAAGAGTCGTCCTATGAAAATGTTATTGGGAAAAATTAGAGTGAGACACAGGTTAACATCTCTACTATAAGAAACCCTAGTTACCTTTGATCCAGATTAATCATGTTAGAAGATCCTCCACGATATATGTTGTGTTAGAGATAGACTTTCCTGCACCGTTGACTCTACGTGATTGTGTCATCAACCAATTATATCTTATCAGATATGTAAAAAGTGTTTATTTTTTCCTGTGATAGATTAAGTAGTGAAAATTTTAAGAGCTAGATTTTAAGGACTGAAGTTTTGAAGTGGTAATTAAAAATTAAATATATTTTGATATCTTTTTTAATTTTTAGTATTCAGTGATAAGAGAGTCACTTAAAATTTTATTCTATTTTAAGTGGTGCTTACATTTTGAGTGATATTTAAATTGCGTTATCAAACGCATTTAATGGAATAAGTAGTTAATCTGTTCAGAATTAAGTATTGAATTGAATTATCAAACAACTACATGTCGGTATTTGATCAGTTGGTGATATATGTCACCAATACAACCGAATGAATAAATATTTCTCTTATTTTTGAGTCAACAAACTTGATCCCATAAGCACGTTGTCATTGCTCGATCAATCTTTGATCCATATTAATTTGCCCATTGATTTGTGGTTTGATCGACTCTGGCTCATTGCTTTGAATCTCTCAACATTACACATATTAGGGTCAAGTATAAAAAACACCCCTAAAATATGCTTACAATGCATATCACACCCCTCACGTGCAAAAAATATCCCTAAAGTTTCAATTTGGTGCAAATAAGTCTCTCTGACAAATTTAAACCCTAAATTGACTAAATTACCCTTATTGAACCATTTTATAAAATATATAAAAATAAATGATTTTGTAAAATGACCGAAAAGGACAATATTGGATGATGCTTCTCTCGTGCAAAAAACACCCCTAAAGTTTCAATCTGGTGCAAATAAGTCCCTCTAACAAATTTTAATCCTAAGTTGACTAAATTACCCTTACTAAACAATTTTATAAAATATATAAATATAAATAATTTTATAAAATGACAAAAAATGACACTATTGGAGGACGCCAACAATGGATAAGTAAAGATTAAAAAAAATAAAAGTATAAAAGTATAAAAGAAAAGTAAAGATAAAAATAGAAAACAAAAAACAAAAATAAAGTGCAAGCTAAAAAAAAATAAAGTGTAAACAAAATTTCTCTAAACTTTGAAAACCAGTGCACGCTGATATTGGAATTTTTTTTTTTAAGAGTGTTGGTACGAAAAAAAAAATTAAGAAAAAAAATTAATAGAAAAGAATGAACTAGAATATCAAAAAATTCAAATCCTTATTATACAAATTCTCAAAGTTTAAAAAATATATATATTTAGAGATATATATAGAGAAAAAAGTTTATATATATATATATATATATATATATATAAAAGATAATTTGCACATAACACCCTATACTATGAGATTAGTAGCATATATACCTCTTTGGACATTTTCAGAAGAGTAAAATGGCAAAATGGGTATTATAACACCAATTTATATCCGAGGGGGTATTTTTGCACAATGTAAAAATATTAAGGATATTTTTTGTACACTTTTACAAATAGGGAGTAAAAGTGCTACGCAGAGAACTCATCCATCTTGGTGAAAGCTAAAGAAAATTGTTTTGTTTTTTAGAAACTAGCAATTTTATAATTGGAGGTAGATGGATCAATATAATCTTAAAAATCTCAATATAAATGGTCAAATAAATGACTAGAAGCTACATTGCATTTCACTTTCCAAACTCGTCTATATTTCTCTTCCTGAATTTTCTCTTGCCGATGTAACATCAGACTAGAGTATATATTTGAAATTATGGTGTCAAACCAATTAACTCCAAAAGACTAATGTTACTCTAACATTTGAATCCAAACAATACTCCATGTAATTGCATTGGATGATGCTCTTACTTTAACATTTGAATCCAGACAATACTCCATGTAATTGCATTGGATGATGCTCTATGGACTGCACAAGAACCAACTGTGTCTTCCTACTAAGGGTTGGCCACTTCTTCTCCGGCTTCAAGCCCTTACTCTTAATACCATTAACCAGAGTAGCAAATTCTGTCACCATGAGAGCTTCCTGAGGAAGATCGGTCGTGACAATGTGCTCAACCGGTATCGGTTCACAGCCTAGAGCGCGTTCCCCAAACTTGGAATTCGAAGCTACGAAAAACGGGCCAACGTTCTCTTGAAAGGGAACAACAAAGTCATGAACACGCAAATAACCCTTTGTTCCAAGAGCAGTTATGTCCATGCTCAAATTGGTAAGGAAAGAGCAATAGAAGGTTGCTACTCTCCCGTCCTCCCACCGTAGAGAAGCTCCGCATGAAAGAATCACCCCTGCTTCATTGAAGTCCGGTTCACGCAAAGCTGTTAGTGTTTTGGGCAGGTCATAGTCTGCAGCCCAAAGACTTGCCCTGATGCAGTACCATCCAGCATCACCTAGAGCTCCATGAGCATCGAGATCAGGCTTCACGCGAATGTCATTCTTAAGAAAGTCTGCGCCAGCATCGTATGTGAAGGATGTGTGTAACTGTGGAAATAAAAAATAATCATCTTCAGACAATCCCAGAATGCAGAGGAAATACTAGCTTAAAATTAAAATTGAGCTAGCGTGAGAAAGAAGAATTGAAGCACAAAATGTGAAAAAGTTTATGCTCTTTGTTTAAGCTTCTGACCATGATTGCTAACTATTAGTCATGCTAATTTGTTTTCTATATACATCAACCACATATAATTTAATAGAAATTTTTTACTGAGGCATAGTGAGATCAAGTAGTAAACTAGAACTTCCAAGAAATGTATATTTATGTGAAGTGCAGTCATTAGCTAGAAGGCTATCGTTACAATCTCATGCATTACACATATATGACAATTTCGACACCATGAAATAGGACAACCAAAAACAAAACCGCAAATTGTTGAAATGTAAGCCTAGGTCATCATTTAATCCACCAAAAACTTAGCAGACTACTACCCTGGAATAAGAAAGCTAATTAAACATGATATATTGGCGAGAGATATGAATCTGTAGATCAACTCCAGATGTTTGAGTTTCTAAACTATTTTGTAAACGGAAATGAGATAGAGGTTAAAATAACATTTGTTTCCCCCAAAAGTAAGGATTTAACAGAAGGGAAGATGTAAAGAAAAGAGGGATTTAAGACCATATCTCTCCTCTTCAAATGCCATATTGGTCAATTTAATATCGTAATTTCTCTTTCAGCTGGCAACGTTTAGTTGATTTCTTGTTTCCTTTTCATTAATAATTTTAAGATCTTAAACTCGATTAGAGTTTAAGCCAGACCAAAATGTTGGAAAGAAAGGATAAAAATTGAAGACAAAAACTAAAAAGCCAAAGGGTAAATTGCATTGACATCCCCTTAGGTTTCGGTCAACGCATGTCTAAGGCATTTTCAACAATGACACCCCATATGGTTCTAAATGTCATATTTGCCTCTAATTATTTAATTTAATTAATATACAAAATATCAACCATGTTAATTGACAAAACTACCCTCATCATTAAGCCTATTTTTCTACCTTAATCTTTAACTCTCTTTTTTTAGGACGTGGCTGCTTTTTTTTTTTTTCTCCTGTTGTAGTGAGTCTGGGTTGGCCATGGCTATTTATTATTAATTTTTTTTCCTACTCTGGTGGTGGTGGTTGTGGTGGTGTTTAGGTTATCAAGGTGTTTCAATTTTTTTTTTTTTTCTTTTTTCTATTGTGGTGGTGGTGGTGGTTCTTGTAGTGTCTGGGTGTGTTGATAGTGTTATCTTTGGTGTGGTGGTGGTGGTTCTGGTGGCGTTTGTGACGTATAGGTTTGGGTTGGCCATGAGTGTTTTCAAATTTTTTTTCTATTGCGGTGTTTGAGTGTGGTGGTGGTTATGGGGATGTACAATTATCTAGCAATAAATTATTTTTATTTTTTATTTTTTATTTTTATGTTGTGGTGATGGTTATGGTGGTACAAGTATTATTATTTATAAACTATATTTATATGTATAAAGAAATGAAGATGTTAGTTTGGTCAATTAAATTTAGTTAGAAGGTTAAGGGCCCGCTTAGCATGTGCTTTGTTTTAGGCATTTTGTTTTTGGTTAAAACAGAAACAGTATTTTTGCTATAGGAGTGTTTTGAAAAAAAATCGGAAGCATGTTTGGAAACAATGTTTTGCTATGAAAATGTCAGAAAACAGAAATATGCAATACATGTTTGGTAGGTTATGCGTTTCAAGAATTTTGAAAACAAAACATGTTTGGTCACTCCAACTGTTGCCAAAAAAAAATAAAACAGAAACAGAAATATGGAATACGCAATGACTCCTCAAAATCAATATATATAACATTGCAATATGTTGCTAATACATAATTAATTTTATCAGAACCAGAAGCAATTGATCAAACAACTCAAAAATATACATTTACAAGCAAATATAAATAGAATAAAACCAATTTCATAATAACTCCTCATTTGATTGATTCAAACAAACTAAAACCAGAAAAACCAAATCAAATTGGGGACATTCAAATTCCTCACCTTCAAGATCACAGAGTGAATAACATCAGCATACTTCACAGCTAAATTAAGCGACGCGTAATCGCATAACACCGCACATAACTCCTCGGAACCTCACCGAGCAGGTCACCATGGTTCACCACGATCACCGTCAAGAAGGCGGCGACACTAGACCCCAAAGAATGTCCGACAAAAATCATCTTATACGACAACCCAATTTCGAGCCATAATCACTTCAGATTCTCCTATTCCTGCCTTGTTCTTCGACAAAGACAACAAAAGAGCAAAGATCGGTGGTCGGTTTAGTGGATTTCAGCCGAACAAACACCCACAGTAGAGTCGCCACAAAATTGCCTCCGCTAGAGCTCTCTATAAAACTATAAAATGTCTGAAATATTTTAAGCGTGGTTTATATACGTGTTGCAAGTCCAGTTTAAGTTGAGTGATTTTACTTCCTCCGCTATAGTGATTATTTGGGCCAACAATACCCAAAACATAGTAAAACACCGAAATGGTGTTTCAACTTTTGGCCCAAAAATTGAATCTGTTTAGACATTGTTGACAACAAAGCAGACCGAACCAAATATGTTTTGGGCTAAAAAATTACTACTGTAGCAGGCCTGCAACAAAAACATATGAAGCAAAACAGATACCAAATAGGGCCTAAATTTGTAATTTCATGATTTAAATGGAGTTGTTGACAAGTCAAAGGGTTAAAAGGTAATTTTTTTCAGAAGTCTGGAGGGGTGTGAATGCACATTTTTGAAACCTCGGGAGGTGTCAATGTAAAAAAAGCCATTAACCGTCTGCTTAGTGGAGTTGACCAAAATATCAGGGGTTGTCATTGCAATTTACCCAAATTCAAAATATAGTCTCAATCTTTCACTAAGAATGTTCTTGCAAGATAATTACTGTACTTGTTTGATATCTTTCAATCTCGCTGTTAAAATATAGAGAGCTCATGAGTCTTGTCATGAAGTGCTCTTTTAACAACATTATTCATTTTCAAATTTGCCTCCTGTATTTGAGACCTAACATATTTAGGTTACCCAACTATGAATACTTTTTTGAGAACAAAAAATTGATCTTGGATAAATCTTTGGTAAATTTTTACAAAAATCTAACTATAAACAAATACTTAACAATCATTCTCTTAATCGCCGTGTATAGGGATGGTAATGGGGCGATTTGGGGCGGGGATCACATTACCCATCTCTATCCCTGTTTAATTTTTCACCCTCATAACCACTCCAAAACCCACTTGGTTTTCAAAGCAACCCCCATCCCCGTCCTCATTTATATAATCGGTTCCCCAAAACCGCCTCAAAACAAGGTAGGGCGGGGAGGGAATTTTTGCCATCCCTAACCGTGTAGTTAAAAACTTTAAATTACCATTAAAAGCACTGAAAAGTAAAGGCTCCAACTAACTTCTGATTAAGGGCAAATTGCATAAAATCCTCTTTACCTTCAAATTTTGGCAAAACCCCTTGAAGAAATTTTTGACATAAAACCTCCTTAACTATCAAATTTGTTGCAAACTGATTTTGTAATGATGAAAATGCCCCCTAATATAAATTTAAAAAATATTTTCATTTTAGGTTTTTATTCCTATTTTAAAAAAATTGAACTTTGACTATTTTTTTGAAAATTACACATCATTAAAGAGATGTTATAATGACGAAAATATGACTTAATATAAATTTGAGAAAATTTAAGTTTACTTTAAAATGATTTTCATTTTATGTTTTCCTTTCCTTCTTTATTTTTTAAATATAAAAATTTAAGAAAATTTTGAAATTTCATTTCCATGAATTTTCATTTTCTTATTCAGACAATACTTGGGTCTTCCCTTCGGAGGATAAAGTTAATGTGACCCAATATAATTTAAACACATGTTTAAAAGTTTAACATTTCTAAAAATAATCATAACCCATTTTCTTACTTGTTAAACCGAATTTCAAAGTTTTTTTTTTTTCCTTTCCAAAAGAATCACGATTATTTCTATACCCAACCTCCATTTGAAATTGAAAAATTACTGAATTTATTTAAAGAATGTACTATATCTATCAAGTGTTGAATAGGAAAGAAATAGGAACTTAAAATATCTAAAAATTTGATGTTAACCTATATTTAGCTTTTCTCTAGATCTATTTTTGGTCACAGTTATATCTGTCTTTTGAATCTCTCCCAACTTTTCAACACCTTCAATTGATATGAAAAAGAATGATTAAAACTTTGTTAATACTACAAATTCCGATTGGGTTAGTTTTATGTCACTTATGAGTTTTCAGTTGGTTTGTATATTATTTTACATATTCAATAAAATTTGAGTATTTGATTGATGTAGATAGACTAGGGTTTCAAATGGAGGTTGTGTATGGAGATTTATGGAGAGAGAGATGGGGAAGGGAGGAAAGACTCAAATAAGGTAAGAAAAAAAATTAGGTTTGGTTTAACCGGAAAGAAGTTGAATAATAATCATTATTAAAAATTTTAAAAAATTGTATACGTGTCTAAATTGTACTGGGTCACATTAGCTGGGAGGATAAAGTTCATCCTCTCATGGGAGGACCCAAATATTGTCCTATTCTTATAGATTCACCATTAAAAATTACTAAATTCTTTTTAAACTCGTTTCTAACTTGATTAGAATACACCTAAAACTACTGGTAAAGTACCAAAAAAACCCATGTACTATTGATATAGTGTAAAAAAGTCCATATGTAGTATAAAACCCCTTATACGATTTGGTGCAAATAACCCCTTGAGATTTAAAATGACTCTAATGCCCTTATGTCAATTAATATGTTAAAATATACGCAATGTAAAATGACCGTTTTGTCTATTTTAGCACCTCATCTTTCTCCTCTCTTCTTCCTCTCAGTTTTGTCTCTCCTCTCCACCTCATCTTCTCCACCTATCGCTGGGTCCGTGAGCTTCAGTTTTGGTCGTCTACGTCGAAACTTCTATAGCGTTAGTCACTGTCGTGGTTCATCACATCTTGTAGCATCGCCAGACTGAAATGAAGCTTTACCGAACTTGGGACGCCGAGACGGAGTTGCCAGTCCAAATCTGGAGGTGCAGGAGAAGCCGGCGGTGGAGGAAAAACCGGCGGCGGAGGAGACGCCGTGGCCAGTGGTGCTAGACTCCCAGACGAGTGCATCGGAGCTGTTAACGAGGCGAAAGTTGTGGACAGAGCGAAACTAGAGAGAGGCGGAGGAGTCCAGTGTCAACGCCACCGGCCTTCCAGATGGGGATGATGTTGTAGGTGACGACGGCGAAGTAGGTAAGGCCCTCGGAGATGAAGCCAAGAGAGAACGTGTCGTTTGGTGAGTATTGGAAAAACGTCACTGAAGTAGGGCACGTGTGCGCGTGAAGGGCGAGTTACATCTATTCGCAGGAGCGTCTGGCGCATGAAGCGCGAGTCAGATGATGCCGGCGGCATGATTGACCGGTGATGAAGGAGTGACCGGCGACAAACAAGGATTGGAATCATTGCTACAGACGGTGGTTCGAAGCGGCGGTAATGGCGTCGAGCTCCACGATAGCGTGGTGAGCTTAGAGGACGGTGGAACTGAGGAATTGCACGGTCGGTAGATAGTGGTTACGACAGCAGAGAAATAGGACTTTGTTCATTTCTGGTGAAGGGGGTTGTTGCAGATGGTTTCAGTGATGTTGTTGATGAATGAGCGGAAGGCAGGGGTAACGATCGGCAGCTGGGATTGCCAGGTGTTCACCACCTCCTTCACGAAACCATCGGAAGTTGCAGATGAGCTTCCGGTGATCACCACCTAACGCTGGTGCTTACCACCATCTTGTGTGACCCAGCCGGAAAATCATCCTCTCTTCACACTCTGTCTTACCCGGATTCGCATAGTGGGTCTGCTAGTGTTGCAAAACATCACTTCTCTCTCCAGAGGATGTCGCCTATAATGGTTGTGGGGTGGTGGCCTGTAATGGTGGTGGGAGGAGGTGACTCGTTGGTGGGAGATAGAAGGAAGAGGGAAGAAGATGAAATTAGGGGCAAAATAAGAACAAAAAGGGTAAAATGGGATTTTCAGATTTGTTTTTTTGCCAAAAAATTTTCATCCACATCATATAATATGTAAAATATAAGGGAGAGATATGAGATATCCATGATGAATATGTTCCTCATAAATCATATTAATAAAAACCTCTAAACATGTATATGCAAATCAACACAAAGACAAACACGCATACATATACAATCATAAAAAGATGGGGAAAAAAAAAAAAAAACATGTATTATGGAGCTTGTAGACATTAAAATTTTATGAGTTTTTGTTTAAATAAATTGACTCATCAAATATGGGTCTCATGTTTAATTAAATTATTTAATTAGTCCAAACTTGGTCATCTTAAATTATTTAATTAGCCTAGCCTAGGTAGTTAAATAAAAAGATAATTATTCTTAATAAAATATATTTAGAATAATTATTTTTATGGATAATTATCATAATATAACCAGCCCGACATTATGCCCTTATCAAAAAAGGACGCATGTCGTCATCCTATTAATCTAAGAAACCTATAAATAGAGGTATGAAGGAAGGGGTAAAGAAATTGAGAATTCTAGAAAATCAGAATTCCAAAGAAAAATACAGAAACTATGCCGGTATTCATTCCTAACACCCAAACTTGAAGGCGAAGAGTAACAAGCGCATCAAATCGTGCCATTCTTCATCAACATTCCACGGTGATCAATAACAAGCACATCAAATCTGTGAGTTGTACGTAGTAGAATATTTAGAAATTTTTGTATTTTTAGAAACAGATCTGTGTCTTTCTAACTTTACTTATTTTAGCAATTAAATAATTAATCTCATGCAAGATAAAATAAAGCAAAGTAAGAGTTAGAGATGATACTAGGATTTTTAGCGAGGAAACCCTAGTTGATAAAATATGTCAACTGTTTACGCGGGAAAAAACTCGTGGACTGTGCAGTCTAAAGTAAAATGACCTATTATGTTTGAAACAAAGTACACTGAACTTTGATTTCGGCTCACACCCAATCGTTCTACTAAATACCAATAGCTGACAATCTTCTGGCTTTGTGAAATCCCGTCCAACAACAACTTGACCTCAGGCTTATGCTTGATCTTTGTAGAACAGTAGCAGGTAAATCAAACAACACTCCACAAATGCTTTAACCCTTTCAAAGTGTGATAGCTTTTACTTCTGTTCTTCAATATCTGAATTTGATGTAGAAGTAGATCTGTTTTTCTCTGATCATCGTAGATACAACTATATGATCACAATCCAGATTTGAATAACACTCTTAAACTCACTATGTGTTTATGTGTGTGTTCTAGAAAGATTAACAGAGAAATCTGTTGGATTTTCTGCAAAATAATATTCTTGAGGCTTTTATGAATAATGAAGTTGTAGTGCAAAAGTCGCCAATAAACCCAAAATGACTATCATTGTTTATATATAATTTACAAAGACCTAATCCGTTATGAAAATATAGGAAATTTCATGCATAGGGCTTGGTACAATTATAAACCAACTGGAAAGAAATCAAAACAGGATTGCAAGTTTCCAAAAACCTATAACAAACCCTTGAACCGGTTCAAGTATGGAAGAATGAATTCGAGGTCAAACTTGAAGGGCTTGAACCAGTTCAGAAAAGCTTAAACCGGTTCAAGTCTATCAGACTTGAATCCATGGCTGAACTTGGTAAAAAAAATACCCGTTTTGAAAATTTTTAAAAATATATCAAGTATGGAATGTGTCCTAACCTTTTTAGATTTCTTATTAAAGTGTTGTTCTTTCCTTTCTTGATGATCCCAGTTATGGTATATTTGAATAACCTTCCAATTCCGCAGTCATTGTCGATCCCGATATGGTAACTTGAAATTACAACTTGTGATGACCGTGTCATCTTTGTCCTTTTTCCGACATTCAAATTTTTTTTTATTTAATTAATTTTTTATTTAACTGTTTATTTTATTTATTTATTTGTTCATTTCTTTTCTTGTTGCCTTAGGGTTTTGTGTTCGGAAATATTTTTCGACATCGCATGCATTCACATTAATTTAATTTATTGTTAATGCCTAATTAAACTGTGTAAAAAAACATGCTTGTTTAACTTCATTTTCTAGGGGTATGAATGCATAGTTTCTTCAGAAACATTTTGATTTTTTGGGATTATTTATGTAATTAACTTTTTGACATATTTTATCGTAGGGATCTTTTTGCAATTATTTTTTTTGAGATATTTAGAAGAGGGACCATTTTACAATTTTTGAAAAGTGTGACAAGTGTCACCTTTTCCTTGGACCATTTGTTGACTTTTGGTTGGAGATACTTGGAAGCTTAGGATTGTAACAAGTGTAAGGTGTAGATTTAACCTAGTAAGGGTGCATTGGATGGTGACAAGTGGAGGGGTGTGATGTGTGTGTGCGCATGAGTGGTAGTGTTCGTATAGTATTTGTGACTATCAACTTCATTAGTTGGTGGAAATTCTAGTAAAATCACTTTATCTTCCTCACCTCTCACCTAACCCACCATTGAAGCTTGAAAACCTAGGCTTGAAAGCTTGAATCTAACCCTCTTCCACTAAGCTTTTGGTCTTGCACTTGGAAGACAAAAGCTTCCCCTCACTTTCCTCTAAAACACCATATCTTGGATTCCATTTTTGCTTCCATTTTTCCTTGGTTTCAAGAGATACAATTCTCTAGTGAGGTATGGTGTAATACCCCTAATTTTAAAAGGATAGTCTCGGTATTTATTTATTTCTTTTATTTACATTTTTATATTATTTATTTGATTTCTTGGTTATTTGTTTAATTGTTTATTTGAATTAATTGTGTATGTGGTTATTTGACATAAGTTGTTGATTTATTTGTATGATAAATGATTAGCATTTGTTTGTATATATGTTAGGTGTCTAATTAAAATTAATTGTTAAAAACTAAATCATTTAAATGATTGTTTTATTTTATTTTAATATTTATTTTTAATGATGGACTTGGATAGTAGTACTGGACCACCCAATGGGTCACATGGACTACTTGTATAGGATTATTTTTGGGTATGGATAATTACCCATGTGGTGTAGTACATATATATATGGGTATATATGTATATTTATGGATATTATATTTATTAAATTTTTAAATGATTAATATTAATAATTATAGTTGGTTGTGTGTGTGTGTGTATATATATATATATATATATATATATATATATATATATATATATATATAGTTATACATTAAATGTATATATATATGTTTTATCACATACAAACTTATATGTATTTATTCTTTTATTTTTATTTCTCTTTTATTTTATTTTCCTTCTCCTTAGGTAATTAGAAATAGGTTAAATTATAATTGCCTATATATATATCATTATATGTCTGACAAGGGTTAAAAACCCTATTCACGTATATAGAGAGGTTTTAGAGAAAACTCAGAGAATAAGTTAAGGTTTTGGCCATAGATTGAAGGTCGGACCAAGGAGGAAGGGAGAAGGTCTATTTATGGGTTGAATCAGGAGTAGCAGAGGGGTTTAACAGCAGTTAAGGAGTCACCGGTTTATTTAGAGAAGACGGTTTAAGGTTTTAAACTGAAACCAAAGGCAAGTTCTTTCTCTTACTCATTCCCTTAAACTTGTGTTCTGTACATGCCTAGGTAATCTCCAGGATTTAATCGGACATTAAAATTTGTCTTGTATGCATATTAATTCAGAGTTTAAACTTTGTTATGTGTTTTTAATTGAAATTGATTTATCTTCTCAATTGTTTCATCATATGTGTTTTAATTTTTGTTAATGATGCATACTGGGTGTTTATATGAATTTCTGGGATGATTTGGGACATAGTTCGAACTTTTGGGAACCTTAACAGAGGGGTACAGAGAGATTTAACATCGCCAGAGGCGAAGAAGATGATGGGAAGTAGGGACAGAGCTGGCTCCGAAAGGAATGGAGCCGGCTCCCTTTATTTTTCTATACGGCTCTTTGAGAGAGAGAGAGCCAGCTTTCTAATGGAGGGAGCTGGCTCCATAAGAGAGAGAGAGCCGGCTTTCTAGTAGGGAGAGCCAGCTCCATGAAGGGAGAGCCGGCTCCCTTTTTAGTGGAGGTGGCTCCCTTACTGGGAATACACCAGTAGGTGTATTTTTGATTTTTTTT